CTTGAGGTGGTGCTTTTGGGGAGAGACTTCATCTCAGGTGCCACTACTGACCGTAACGGCCATACGATAGAGGAGAGAGGTCAATTACAGGCAGGTCCTTCGTTCTTCACCAGCCTCCGGGTGCACCCAAGCTGCAGCCAAGAACCGTCCATGCACACAGGGCAGTCCGAAAGCAGCAGGCGGGAGATGGCAGAGCTGGTCCCGAGTGCTGCAGCAAGCGCCTTGCTCTGCCGGGTAGCTCAGCCGTGCCGCCGCGCTGCGGCTCACACGGAGGCACCTGGGGGCTGCGGGTGAAGCTGGTGATCTCCGGGTGTGCGCATCTCCCCCACGCCTCCAACCTCCTCTGGGCGATGCAAGCTGCTAACCCGCAGCTGGGGCTGCACTTAACTCCTCTGCAGGGACTCGGTTACCTGGGTCCTGAGCCAGGGAAGAAGACCAGAGTGCTCCTTCCTTGAGCCACTGCAAAGCTCCAAGCAACCCTCTCCCGTAATTCTTCCAACAGGTCCCCCAGGCCCACCAGAAGCTGTGACAATAGATGAGATCACCGACACCACCGCTCAGCTGTCCTGGAGGCCGGGAGCAGACAACCACAGCCCTATTACAATGTATGTCGTACAAGCAAGGACCCCCTTCTCGGTGGGATGGCAAGCGGTGAGCACAGGTAGGTCCATCACTTGGCCCCCGAAGAGCTCCACCGATGGAGAACGCATCCATCGGGACCGAGGCCGAGGGGAGCAGCTCTGCACCTGGAAGTGAAAAGTAATTTCGCCGGCTGCAGAGCCCTGCTCTTATTAACTAGTTTCAAGTTTGGCAACCCAAAGATTTAGAGTCCAGTCGGTGCTATTACTCATCCATTTTTCTCATGAATGTTTAAGGGAAAACAGAATGAATTCCTATCTTTTGTTGCTGCACTGGAGATATACAACAGTAATTGTGGTCTATAAAGACATCCCTCAGGGACAGACCGTGTCATCTGGCCTATCTTTAAGTAGAATTATTTTCCTGATAGAGGGAAAAATCCCATGATGTAATTGCTCATTCTGTCAGAGGTTAATTTTGTTCCAGTAACCATTAAATAGAGGGAACAGTATGTTTTAAAAAGAGAAAAATAAAACCCCTTTAAACCTGTTGTCTTGACACTTTGTTTTCAAAAAGCAGCAATTTAGGAGAAACTCTTTAACAGCAGCATGATGTTTTAGTGCCACCTCTTTGAGTTCCTTGCAGTTAACAAAATGCTAGAAAAATGAGAAAAGGTATAGCAATCCTTCTTCACTTTGCATTTACATTAATCCCTCACTTCTAAGGGTATCAGATACAACCTTTTCTCAGCAGCCTTTAATACTTTTAGTGGTCTCCGTTGCACTCCTGACCTGTGGCTGGCTTCTAGTTCCAGAGATCATCGATGGCAGGACATTCACAGCGACAGTGGTGGGTCTGAACCCTTGGGTCGAATATGAATTTCGAGTAGTGGCTGCCAACCTGATCGGGATTGGAGAGCCCAGCAGACCTTCAGAGAAGAGAAGAACTGAAGAAGCTCGTAAGTAGTGGTGGCAACTGAGTTACATCTTGTTGAATAGGTGCTAATGGATGTGTTGTGCTGGAGGAAGCTGAGGAGCACTTTCTGCGCCCGTTGCTCTCCTCCCTCGTGGCATGTTATTTGTGCACAGAACAGGCAGTAGAAGTTGTGGAACTCCTAAAGGGCTCTCTTGCTCAGTCTGTGACTCCTGGATGTATAGGAAGACTTCATCTCCTTTTTCTGCAGAAAGCAATGATTTTCCAATTTTTTTGGAAAAACTGCCCAGTATCCATTGATGAGAGAGATGAACTCTGAGAGCAATTCCTCTGGCTTCCCATGATCAATGTGATGGAAACTCTGGAGCACAGACTACAGCACCTTGAGATCGGGAGTTTGAGCTTCACAGCTGGGGAGTCGGCAGTCTCTTGAGGCTGGGGGCTTCTGGGGTTCTTGGAGTGGTTCTCACCCTGTGAGTCCACCAGCCTTCGAGAAACCACCCTGGGCTGCCCTGTGGGTTGGATCATTTCGTGGGCTTACTGAAGGTCTGTCTTCGCGAACATGCCACTACCTCCTGGAACCACGCTGTGTCTTCAGGCTGCTGCAGGCACGGCTTCACGGTGATCTTCAGCAGCGCTCGCGTTTAGGGACTTCAGCACAAGCTGCAAGCCTTGGCAGCTTTAAAGGTCCTTGGTGTTGACCCTGTCTTTTGATCTGGCAGAAAGGGGTCACGGCAAGGCGTAGGCTCAGCGTGGTAGCTGCAGGGATATGTGCCTCAGTTATGGGAAACCCCTGGGAGGTGGCTCCTCTGTTCTATTTTAGCCTGTAACAGAACAGAATATGAAATACAAAAATAAATAAAAGCCTTTTTTACAGAAGATAAATATTTAAACTAAACAATTAATGACTGAATACACAAGTTAATTGACATACTTTTAATATACTATTATTGACATACTTTTAATGTGCTATGTGCCGTGGCAAATTACTCGCTACCTAATGGCGTTTCTGGTACCCAGCAGGGGAAGGCCATCAGAGTCCTGTCGCTGCACAGGTCTGTTCCATTTCCGTGCGCTTTTCTGGTTTCAAAGTCTCCACGTGCATCTTCTGCATCTTTTTTTGCAGTTCCTGAAGTGACACCGGCTAACGTCAGTGGTGGCGGAGGGAGCAAGTCTGAGCTGGTCATCACTTGGGAGGTAAGCGGAGTCCAAACCCAGAGGAAAATTGATACGGTCCTGATCTAGATGCACCCTTTCACCCCAGTGAAGCGTCCGTAGATCTCAAACGGGCTGCGGTAAAAAAGCCCGGACTGTGTGATAAAATAGCCCAGCTACTAAAATTGAGCTACACCCCTTCCCCATGCCAGCTCCCGCGGGGAGCGGGCTGTGCGTCGCTGCTTCGACACGAGCTCAGCCCCCTCGGCTGAGCACACGCCTACGCATATGGCAAAGCACGGACGGGCAGCAAGCACCGGAGGGATGAAACGGAGTTTGTGAGACCAGGCTGGCAGCCTGACCTGGTGGAGAGCTGTTGTGGCTGGCTCCCAGGCTCCAGCCCTTATCCCTGCACCGGCTCACATGGCAGCAAATAGTTAAGAGTTAGCACAAGGCATTGCATGCTGGCTTCCGTCGCTGCTAACGAAAGCCAGCAAGAGGAGATACAGAGATGAAAAATGTTTAGTATTCCTTAAGGCAGTCGGGGTTAGAACTTTAGTCATTTGTCTGCTCATATTTTCACGTTATGATGCGATGCAGCTGGCATATTTTTCCTAATAATGAACTTCACTAGACATGCTAACACTTCCACTTAGCGCTATTTCTGACCAAGCTGGCACAATGAATCGCCAGAGATATTTTTAAGGTTATTAAAAAACTATAAATGGGTTTTTGTCCTTACGACACAGCTCAGTGTGCTAAATTTCCTCTTCCATTGGACTAATTAGCTACGCTGTGTCTCCTAAAGATAGTGCAATATGTTTCAAAAACACACATGGATAGAACACCAGCCATGAGTGTCGTAATTTGCACAAAATACAATTTGTATTATGACAGAACAGTCAGTTTACTCTTTTAAATGTCCAGAGACCTTTTCTTTATGGTCCGGTGTATTTTTTGAGCCTTAACAATGCAGAGTAAGAAGCAGTCACCAAAAGTAACCCCTGCACGTGCTTAAGCACCGTGGACATCTGTGGGAGAGCGGCCCATAGCTACCGATTGTTTCAATACGTTGAAGCTCGGGGTTCTGACGCAGTTTTAGGGGTGGCAAGGCTGAGAGTAGGAAGTGTCAGTGTGTCCAGAAGTGACCTGGGGGTGACAAGCTGTTTCTTCTAGCTGTTACCTGGCACTTACCTGCCCTTCTCCATCACGTATGTGACGGTCGCTCCCTGCCGCCGTGGTCTCTAGCAGGTCACGTCACACGGGACCACCAGCCCCGCGCTGGCTAGGACATTGCCAAGATACGTTCTTCAGGGCTTCAACATGCAATTCCAAAGATGTGAGAGCGGCTGCGCATGTATTGGGAAAGCAGGAACCATCTTCTTGGTTGACCCCACCAAACCTCAGCCGCTTAGTCATTGCAGTGCCTAAAATTACTCACTTCGCTACCGGAGGCTCCATCTAGGCAGCGAAGGAGGGTGGGCACCTACGAAGATGGATTCAGTCTTAGGCGAAGTGTCTTCCGGAGGTGCTGCTTTCCCCCCGACTACAGGAGCTTGCGGCGCCGCAGGGCTCTAGCGCAGTCGGGGTGGGATGAATTCAGGCTAGGTGGGAAGGAGGACTCCGGCCACCTCCCGCTCGGTAGAGGACAGCAGCTTTAGCACACCGGGGGCAGTAGCCAGCAGACGGGGAGATAAGCGCGTGCATTGCTGAAAGTGCCGTTTCTCCCGCCATCTGCCTGCCCACAGACCGTGCCCGAGGAGCTGCAGAACGGAGGCGGCTTCGGGTACGTGGTGGCCTTCCGCCCCTTCGGCACCGTCAGCTGGATGCAGACTGTCGTGGCCTCCCCGGACGCCGCCAGATACGTCTTCCGCAACGAGACCTTGCCGCCCTTCTCGCCCTACGAAGTTAAAGTGGGGGTGTACAACAACAAGGGGGAAGGGTCGTTCAGCCCCGTGACGGTCGTCTACTCGGCAGAGGAAGGTAGAGCCAGGAGCCCACCCCACCGCCTCTCCCTCCTCCCTGCCAATGGACGCAGGGAGGGTGACCGGGTCTGAAAGGGTTTAGTATCCACCTTGACATATCCTTTGATACCTAATCCTTGCTCTGATTTATAATAAATGGTGAGCCGTGATTAATTCTTTTGATAGTCATTAAAATAACATTAATTGTAATGAAATCTTTTGATATTAATGGAAAAGTAATATGTAATCTGGAAAGAATTCCAATGAGATTTAGTATGAATTAATGTCCACTGATTAGAAAATGTTCCCTCTTGTCCTAATTACAGTACATGGTATCCTGGGTTGAGTTCAGTAATGACATCTTCTTATTTCTTAGGCAGAGGAGCGGTGCTGTCTGGCACAGGCTGGCAGGCCACCGTTTTGACGTGTGGAAGTTTGTTTCGGTGGCATGCCTCTTTTCTCATGCGATAAAGAAAAGAAATCCCTTAAAGTTTGGGACTAATTGAACATAAAATCAAAAACTCTTAATTTTATTTTTGACTCCTCTACCCAGAGCCGACAAAAGCCCCAACCGCTGTTTTGGCCAGAAGTCTTTCTGCCTCAGACGTTGAAGTTTCTTGGGCTCCCCCTCGGGAGAACCAGCACAAAGGAAGAATACAGGGATATGAGGTATGGAAACACGGCGCAGCCCCTCTCCGTCCTGAGCGTTGAGGAGACGCGCAGGTACATCACAGGCAGCCATTGCGGTGCTGCTCCTGCCCGCCTTGGGGCGGTGGGTTCCTGTGGCATATTTGCTTCCTTTTGTCTCTTCAGGACGCGGAGATTTCTCTCACACGGTAAAAAATTACACAACTTTCTGTGTGTGATCCGGCTGAAAACGGAGAGCAGAGCTCGCTCGGGGAAACCTGCGTGAATGTGCTTCCCCGGCCGGGCCGCGGCGCAGGCCCTGGGGAGGGAGCGCTGCCGCCGGGCTGGTTTCTGGCAGGGAAGGAGAAGGGGTCGTAGCAGGGCGCGGGATCTGTCCCCGCGGCACTTGCGCTTTGGGCAGAAGTGCCGGAGGGAGCGCTGGGCGCGGCCGGGTGCTGCCAGCCCGCAGCGGGAGGTAAACGCCTACCTGCTCTGCTTCTCAGGTCAGGTGCTGGAGGCACGACGAAAAGGAAGAAAACGCAAAAAGGATTCGAACGGTTGGCAATCAAACGTCTGCAAAAGTCAGCAGCCTGCGAGGCAACGCGCTGTATCACCTGGCAGTCAGGGCGTACAACACGGCTGGGACCGGCCCCTCCAGCGCCGCGGTCAACGTCACAACCAAAAAGCCACGCGGGCGGGTGTGAGGACGGGGGGCTCT